GAGGGAGAAGCAGACTCCCTGCCGAACAGGGAGCCCGATGCGGGACTCGATCCAGGGACTCCAGGATCATGACCTGAGCCGAAGGCAGTCGCTTAGCCAACTGAGCCACCCAGGCGCCCAGGACCCTCGTTTCTTGCGCGAGGCCATCTGATGTAGGTGAACCGTGATGTGTGGCCCTCGTCAAACGGCCGTGTGGACAGATGCAGTTTGGGGAAACTTTCTAGTGGATCCAGGGGGTGGTGTGGAGCAAAGAGAGTGACTGGGAAAGAGATGAGGGTCAGCTACAAAGAAGGGATTCCTAGCCTTCGTATTTTAAAATCCTAACGAGTCCGTGTGTGTATACATGCGTGAGTTTGGTGGTGGTGAGGTATTTCCCAAGGTGGAAAAGACCCAATATATTTAACATTCAAGGAGAAATGTAACACACATTTTTGAGACCTTGTCCACATTATTCAATGTTATTCCTCAACATCATAGGGGCCATCCGCCTGGCTACCATGTTAATCTGGAAGAAATTCCACACGTGCGTGTGCACCGAGGTCACCAATGCCCTGTTCAGGCTCTAAAATCCATCCTAATAATAAACTCTTTTGAGTCATAAAGCTGCCTTCCTCCCACCTCCCCCATGACATTCCACCGCCAAAGCCACGTTTGGCAGACTGACATCCTTTGGTGCCACAGTTCGTGTGCCTGCAAGATTCCTAGAAAATTTGAGTCTTTACATCGAAAATCATGAAAGGTTGTCTGACAGTCAAATGCACTTGGATCTTATGAGGCATTTGAATATGGTAGCGCCTTGAAGGGGGAGCCATGGTGTCCGTGGTCCCCCTCTTTAGGAACACCCACACCATGTTGGGTTGGCCTACAGTACGGATGGATTGTAATTTGGTTACAGTGCCTGGTTTTAGTCACTTTGACTGGATGAATAATGAAATATAAACGTTTTCTCTGAAGGGGACAGGTAGAGGTTGACCCCTATGCTGAAAGGACTTTATTTCTGATGCGAAATGGTATATTCCGAAGAATCCACCTGATTCAGTTGTGAAGCACATGAGCAAGCGCTATTCCAGACTCCAGGAATGATTCGTGGAGACGTGTGCTGATCACGAGTGTGTGTTCCGTATGCGTAATGACCGCACGCAGGAACGTGTGGTGGGAGCCACGTCCACGAGCGTCGCCGGCAGCATGAGGCAAACCCCCTGCTGCTTCAAGTTCACTCACGCAATGTGGCTCTTGTCGCCGTCCTCATGGAGGGAGGCGCTGGCTTTGTTTGATAGGACCCTCGTTTCTTTCTTTCTTTTTTTTTTTTTAAAGATTTATTTATTTAATTGAGAGAGCGAGAATGAGAGAGAGCGACCACACGAGAGGGGGGAGGGTCAGAGGGAGAAGCAGACTCCCTGC